TAACTTTATAGGAAAATTATTTTAAAGAAGTACTTTCCCCAAACTGATGACTTAAAAAAATCAATATTTTTTCTGAAGTTCTCTTAAAGAAAACCACATTTGATGCCCCAGGATATTAGTGAGTGATGAAATAAATTTTGGGGGATGATTCATAAAAGCTAAGGTGATTATTTTGTAGTCATACCTGATTTTTGCAGTCTTGGTATACAGATCAAGTAATATTAGTTTAATAACATTCTGACCCAATTTTCTATTATGACACAAATTACAATGTATAACTGAAAACATTGGGAAATTTGCATATGTGCATATATCTATCAATCAATTTATTTATCTATATATCTATCATTGTCATCATCTATCCATCTGTCTATCAATTTCTGGTTTATTTTTGGAAATATAAGTAAAAGCTCAATGACTAAAACTTGGAGTCAAGATACTAAGTCTTGGGTCGTTCAGTGTCTCTTCTGCAAATGTAACTTTACTCTCAGTCACACTTTCTCCAATTACTAAATGAATACTTGAAACATGCATTTTTATGCAACAACAAATGTTTTCTATAATAACCCAGCAGATGGTGCTGTTCTGCAATAAACAGCTTTGGTTTTTGTCAATAAAGTGCTATGTAAGTTAATAAAAAAAAAAAGCGATAGAATTTTTAAGTGTTTTATTGCTTACCTTGTGCTGCAACTTTTATTGTCCCTTGTTTGGTTTCTGGGGTTTTGCCAGGCTCTTATTTAAAAAAAAAAAAGAGAGAGAGAGAGAGAAATAAATTACCATAAAGTATTACTTCAGAAAGATATATAATAACAGAAAAGGGAAAAATTATAAAAACAAAAATAAACATAAGAAAACACTGCTCTTGGCATTCAGAATTTTTGTTAAGAAATGAACACAATTAACAGGAGACTTGAGAGTCAGGCTTACTGAGACAAAAATAAAATAACTGAACCAAATAAAAGCAGAAAATGAAGTTTTCCAAAAACTGTTTTTTTTCACTGTTAACTGACCATAAATGATTCTTATTAGTTTAGCACCTGAATTTGAAAATCTCAGACTTCTCTGTAATTATTTCTGTATGATTAGCTCTTCGAAATGCTTGGAGCACTTAGACATGTGGCTCACTGAAGGTCTCTAAGTGACTAACAAGAGAACAAAGCCCAGAACAACCAAATTCCAGCTCCAGCCCTTGACCCAAGATGTCATTCCCTATATTGCTGTGGTGCCTGTCAACTGTTGCCATGGCCCCGGGCAACAATATGGGTTGGCAGAGAATGAGCAAACTTCATTTGCAATCTTTCTTCCCGCTAGTCCCTCTTGGTTGTTTTTTGTTGTTGTTGTTCAGAAAATTCTCTTTAAAGAAACAGAGTACCGAAAAAACACTTATTTGATAAACATTTAAACACATTATTTACTTAATTAGCATGGAAAATAAAGAGAAAGCAAAGATGTCAAAATGCAGTGGATCATTTCACATTTCACTAAGTAAATGTTTGTGATTATCTTTGCTGAGTTTTCAATAGTTGAATTGTCACTTAACGATATGGAAAGGAAGATTTGGTTATTTGTTTTGGATAATCAATCTTTATTCATTCATCACATATTTATTTAGGACCTATAATGTGTATATACTAAGCGAGGTGTAAATGTAGTAGGTGATATACACATAAATTTAATCATTCATTTAATTATCATCAAATGTTGATTACAGATTATTTAATAAGACAATTCTATTTAGAGTTATAAAATGACAAGATTGCATCATAAGCAATGGTCAAGAATCATAAGCAAAGAATCCATGTTTCTTTGACCAAACAAAAGAAGTTTAATCTCTAATCATGTTACCTCTTGTTGATGATTATTCATTTATACTATAATCATGATTATTAAAATGGTAATTTTTTCATTCTGTTTTTATATAAAAGAAATATTATGTGATTCACATATATGGGTTACATTATTCCTATGTTTATTTCTTAGAACAAAATATCTTTTGCCAAAATTAAATTGAGTCCATTCTACCTATGATCACTTTATCATTAATCTCTTTTTCCCCTGGAGGAAAAGTCCGTGCCAGCTATCATGCTAGTGCCACCTCTGTCACATCTAGAAAAGACTGTCTCAAATCAGAATTAATCAAGAATTACATATAGATAGTGAATCCTTAACTAATGTATTTCTAAGTATTACTTTACCCTATAACTAGCTTTAGTAGGCACTTAATAAATAATGAAGAGGTAGAGGCAAGAATGAAAGAATACATAGGAAAAATCATAAAAATACCCTAGACTTCCCAGGTGTTTGAATACTTAAGGATCTCAACATAGCAGAGAATTGTAGAGTAGTTCTTGATTTAAAAGAAAAAAACGATTTTTAAAATCACTGTCAGTGAAGTATCTTAGCATTTCCATAGTTGACTTTCCACCTAGCTTCTCTCTCACTTTTTAAAATTTCCTCTTAGATCACTGATCCTAAACCATCTCTCCACAACTAAGATTCTATTGGACCACCCAGCATAACCAGTTGTGAATTATGGAGAGCTTTCCTTAGGGCCCTGTTAATAACTTCTCCTATTGGTCATTCGGTTCCTCAGTTGCTGCCTTCCTCAGCGGTCAGGGTTCAGATCGTGTTCCCATGTGTTCAGCATCCTATATTTGAATATCCTAACAAGGCGACAGACTGGTCATCTCTCAACAGGCTCACAACCTCACTAACCTTACCCTGTATCTGTTTGGCTGTGTGCCTTGAGTGGGTGTGTTTGAAGGGTTCCTACTCTATGAACTCTTTTTTCTGCTATGCCTTGGTTCCCTCACCTCCCTGCTCACGTGCACACAGAAAGCTCACCAATCCACTAATGCACACTGACGCATTCAAGATACTCTCCCAGATTAAAGGTGTTATTTTAAAGTGTTAATTCTGCAGACAATGTCCAAATGCAAAAGAATGATTGTAATGGAGCTGACTTTCAGGATCACAGTGGTCAGATGTTTTGTCCCTCATAATTCCATCTATTTATCTCTAATCTCACACTTTTAAGTCAGTTTGTATGAATTCACAAACTCTTATGTGAACAACATCTCAGTAGAAATTAGCAGTTTTAAATCAAATGTTTTTCAGTACATTCACCCCACAACAATATCAGTCTCAAATCCATTGAAGACATACACAGAGGTGGTCAGATTTGACATCTGCTTGTGTACAGCATTTCAGTTTTCAAAACCTCAAGGATTGAAGGAGGAAACGACTCTTGACATAAATGTACAACATTAAGAAAGACACATCACAAATTTCATAGGTGTGAAAACACATTAAATCCTCATAAATTTTCATTATAAATAATTTTTCTCTCTCCTTTTGATTACCGACAACTGCAAATGAAACCAACCTTTTACTAGGAAAAATTTCAATTACATACAAAAGTAAAGAAGAAAGTATAATGAGCTCCATTCTCATCGGTGTTCTCAATACCCATTCAAAAATTATTGGGTGATGGCCAGACCTATTTCCTCTGTATTACTCACTACCTCCACTACACACATCCCAAATGAAAATTTTATTATATTAAATAATTTGTCTCTTTCTCCAAGTTTTTATTCAATAATTTTCATTGTTATATTTTTGAATTAAAATAGAGTAGTTTAAATAAACACACAGGACAATAAGAAAATTCAACTAAATTTTATAATAATTCTGAAATCAAGAAATAATATTTTGAGGTTCAAAATCAGAGACAGGATGGACTGTAGGTTTAAAGATCAGTATAATTCTCTTAGGAATGTTTTAGCAGTAAATTAACAGAATAGTTGATACTCTCATTTTCCTGAAACATGTTGTATTTATATAAACAAATTGTCATGAATCAGATTAGCCAAATGTTTTAGTGTCTTCTGATTCTTACGCATGAAACAGTCTGATTTAACAAACTGCAAAAAAAATATTGTGAGTCTACAAATATTTTGTTGAGAAATCAATTTTTGCATATAGGCTTAAATATTAGTCCAATATCACGAACTTTGTATCTACAGGATGACTCTTGTTTATACTGACTTCTTTTAATGTGAAGTGGGAAGCCATCGAGTTTTCAAATATAGGATTCACACAACTTCAACAGCAAATGGATTGCTTCACTGTGAGTCCAGGATTGGTCTGACTAACGGACTAACAGACAGTAGATGAACGTCAGTAGTATTATGGAGAATCATACTCAACATTTAAAATATTTTCTAAGCAATCCTCCACTCCCCACCCCCCTAAAAATCACTGCATTTATAATGTTTTTATTTTTCAGAGTAAGTTGAGGGAGGTCATTTGCTTTTAAAAAGTAGCAGTGAACAATCCCTGAATAACATATACGTTCCTTCACTTCAGCAAATAACAGCAAAATAAATAAGCAAGATGTACCCCCAAATGAAGGAATGTGTCTGCTAGAGAGAGGGTATCTGACAGAGGCCAGAGGACCATCAGGGAGTAAGCAGGTGACGGGTCCTGATGACTCAGTCCTCACACTGGTCATTTCTCCGTACCCAGCTCAGTGGACGAGGCAGTACAGATTTCTGTTTCAATATGCAATCATATTCTAATTGTTCACCTACACAGCTATACCTTCTTACTAATCTAAAAACTCCCTGAGTTCATTTGACTGTTACGTATTCAACTTCATAACCCTAGCACCTTGCAAAATGATGAGAAAATTGTCTCTGATAAACATGTAAGGTTGCACAAAAATCTAATATGAAAGTGACAAAAAATCAAACTGATCAGTTTGAAATGAGACATTAAATTTAAGAAACTGCTTCATTTTTAAGACGACACAAAATTAATTCGAACTTTCTTTTTCTCTTTGATCATTCATCCTCTATTATGCAGAGAGTGTTTTAATTGTAAATTTCAGTATTTGATTTTCACTGGGATATACTATGTTCCTGATTGCACCTGGGGATTTGTAGAATTTCACAATTTCAAGCAGATTTCTATTTAATTGTCATGGGTTAGGAAATGGAGGAATTCTGTTTTGAATTCTGTTTATGACAGGAACTAAATGTTTCTTCAGGACTCAAATTATGAATCATCTTTTTAATTAATTTTCATAAAAGGAAACGGAAACATTTTTTATAAGCCATCTGTTGCTAATTCTGCAATAGCACAAGGCATTTAGACTGTTCTTAGGTGAGAAAACTAAACATAAAAAGTTAAATGCCTCTTCTGCAAATCAGGAGAGAAATTAATATTTAGTGGTTCAGTAACTAAACTTATATAAACTTCTTTGATCTTTCAAAAGTATACATCTATTTTAAATAAGATACTAGAAACTAACAACACATTTTCCTGCAATCCAATAAGCTGCTAAATCAAGATCTAAATTATTGTTTTCTATTCTTATAAAATCCTGTGTTATTTTTAGATACACACACTCCCCAAGTAGAGAGAAGTTAACAATTAAGCTATAAGTTACTATATGCCTAAAAGCTCTCAAGCTAACTAAGCCTTTTGTGCTTGTAGCTCCAGGAAAGCACATTTCAGGGCATAGCTTCCTTTCAGCATGATAATTACCCCATTGAGATGAAATTAATCATGAAGCAGCCTTCAGCCATCCTGTCCGACCAAGGGGACTGAAACCTGAAAGGAGGGCCTATTTGCTGCCAGATATGCAAATCACAAAAGGTGCACAATGCAGAAATATGAATAATTTATCAAAATAATCTGTTATTGCTAGAGGTTAAAAATCTAAGTAA